AAATGCAAACTGGGAATGGGAGGATGGCAACCGGGAATAGGGGGGCAAAATGGGAAAAGGTAATGGGAAGGGGGACTGTGGGGACTGTAAATGGAAACTGAGAATGAGGACTGGGAATGGGAATAGGGGGATGGGGACTGTGAATAGGACCCAGGAATGGGGGGGACTGGGACAGTGGGGGACGGGGTCTTAGTGCACCTTACTGAGGGATAATGGGGTCCAGGTGAACCCTGGAGGGGGGACAGGGTCCTTGTGCACTGCAACGGGGTCCCGGTGCACCCAGAGAGTGGGAAAACAAGAATCCCAAAGCCATGCAAACCACCTCCAGTTTGCATCCCTCCCAGTGAACTTTAATGAGTCTCTAATTAATTCCCCCCCCCCAGGATAATTTGGTCCAAATCTACACTAACTCAGGCTAAGGTCGGCTTAATCTCGTGGGTTTCATGCAACCCCTTCCTCCAAACCTTGTTTTGCAGCGGGATTTTTGTACAACCTCTGTAGGCGTGGTCGTTGCATCTTTAAAACGGTTTCAAAGTGATGATTTGTAACAATTTCGAGAATAAAGCATCAGGTGGGAGCAGTGGAGATGCTTGGTCAGTGCTTTGCGTGCTTTGTATCCAGCTTGAGACCTGCTCTGAGCAGGACACGGGAGGGAAATCAGGTCCAAACGACCCAAATTCGTGTCTGGAAGCCATGAAATTCAGCGTGGAGGCCCCTCGATCCCTGGAGAGGTTCTCCAGGGATTCCCAAACCCATGGCATTTGCTGGAGTAAATCAGGGAAGGAGCTGTATTGATTTCCATGTGCTCAGGTCTGCCTTTATTACCCTACTTTTTCCATGGAGTTGCAGTTCCTGGGTGAGAGGCATTGCAAGGAAATGCCAAAATACGGACTCCTGGTATTTTCCCGGTGATGGGTTCTGCTCTTACACACATTTTACAGCCTCCTGGGATGGATTTGTGGACGTAGGTGGAGCAACACCAACATAAACCCTGAGCAGTTCAGTGGCAGAGCCGGTTTGTGCATCTGCCACCCATTTGTTGGAACAGAAGGGGAGCTCTGGAGTTCCTTCCTGAACCACTGGGAATTTGAGGGGTATAAAACACGGGAGAAAGCTTTCAAAGGGGTTCCCATCTGCACTATGAGTGGAGTGTGTGCCATCCCCTTAAACCCTCCTTTGTCCTAAGCAAATCCTGATTTCCCACCCAGGTACTTCTCCCGTCCATCCCTAGGGGGGATCCCTTGCTTTAACCCTCAAATCTCACCTTTGTTTTCCCCATTCAAGCAACCAGAAGGTGCAACTCCCATCTGGAAGCTGGTTTACCCTCTTTTTACAGCCTGTTGGGTGTGTTTTCATGTTCTTCAGACGCTCTTGGAGCAAATCCTTTGCTGCTGGGAGCCTGCTCCTGGCAGGATGCATCCATTGACACCCAAAGCAAAGGACACCTTCCCTGCACAGCGTTCCCTCCATGACCCCATCAGCTCCAGAGGGAAAACCTCTTTGCTCCCACCCTCAAGGGCTTGCTGCCTGCTCCTGAGTTACCCCTGGAGAGCAGGAACTGTCTCTTCTCCATCCTCCTGCCCGTTGCTCCAGGGCTCAGTTAATCATATTTAGCTCAATCCTACTGACTCCTCTCTTTGGAAACGCCTGCTTTTCTCCTGGCACTGGGAGGATTTATGTCCTCTCCAGGCCTGGGACTGCTTT